TATGATGCTGCATGCTGTGCTGCTTATAGGAGTGAAATAAACTTATTTTAACAAGTTAAAAACTCATCTTAAAATAATTCCAAACGCACAGAAGTTTTCACTTCAAAAAATGAGCAAACAAAACTTAGCAAAATGCTTAGATTAAAACAAAAAGGGTAGATACAATACGCTCATACAAGCATCAAATAAATGATTCGACTCAACTACATAAGCAACTCTCACACACGCATGAGTCTGTAAATACATTCAATCGAGCGAGCAAGACAGAACTGTACGCTTCAATGCAGAGAGAGCGAAACGGCGAATCCGCTTCCGAGTGCGAACGGCTGAGCTGTATTGTTGTCCTTTTCTTGATAACAAAATGGCGATAACGATCTAACGAATCTGGAACAACGGAACCAAAGCGCGATTCAGGAGGCTACAGCGCCATCTCTTGACCATTGGTGTAGTAGAACCAAAAACCACATCTTTATTTTTTGTAATAAAGTAACAGTTATAGGTATTCATATTTATAATATCAAAAGTATTTATTAATTTGGAACAACGGAACCAAAGCGCGATTCAAGAGACTACAGCGCCATCTCTTGACCATTGGTGTAGTAGAACCAAAAACCACATCTTTATTTTTGTAATAAAGTAACACTTATAGGTATTCATATTTATAATATTTATCCACATGTTTCTAGTTTGTATATTCGGAATACGTGTTTGAGTTTCATACAAGTGCAAATCACATATGTTCTAATAAATTATATTCAGTAGCGATTTTAATTGAATATTTTGATTATTTATTTATTTTTTCAAATTAAAACTGAACTTTATTGACTGTGTCCTTTTCCAGACTTTTTATTAATTTATTGTTATATAATTATTTGCATGCAATTAAAAACTAATTTTAAACGATGCGAAAGAAGGATAACTTCTCACGCGCCTACATAAGTACACGCACCCATTTTTATCGTTTCTGCGTAATATTAATGACCTTAACTTTTTTTTTTTGTGAATTAAATTTCGAACATTAAAAATAACAATTCTTTTAATTTTTTTTTTTTACATTTTGCCTTAGATTAGAACAAAAAGGGAAGATACGGCACTCGCCGCTCAAAAGTTATCCGCTTAAATTGTGGTGCACGATCAGAATTCGGTGTAGTCACAATTGGACATTCATACACGCTGCATGTGCACTCAACATAACAATATTGCGTATATTCTGTGCAATAAAGATAAAACAATGGCTCCGATACTTTTATAAAGAACACAAATAGTTCAAAATCAAATAACAAATGCCTCGGATACTTCTCATTCGTAAAACTGTAAAATATATTTTTTCTCAAAAATCACGGTTTGTCTTGAATGTTATTTACGTTATCGCCATTTTGTTATCAAGAAAAGGACAACAATACAGCTCAGCCGTTCGCACTCGGAAGCGGATTCGCCGTTTCGCTCTCTCTGCATTGAAGCGTACAGGGGGCCAATCGCCTAACGGAAATGCTTTGGAAAACGCTAACGCTTACGATTTTATTTTGTTATTTCTAGCCGCCTGAGGTATTCAAATGCCTCGCGCTCTTTCTTTTTCTTTTGCATTGGTAATAACAATATTAAAAAAAATGAGCGTGAGGTATTCGAAAACCTCAGGCGGCTAGAAATAACAATATAAAATCGTAAGCGTTAGCGTTTCCCAAAGCATTTCCGTTAGGCGATTGGCCTCCAGTTCTGTCTTGCTCGCTCGATTGAATGTATTTACAGACTCATGCGTGTGTGAGAGTTGCTTATGTAGTTGAGTCGAATCATTTATTTGATGCTTGTATGAGCGTATTGTATCTACCCTTTTTGTTTTAATCTAAGCATTTTGCTAAGTTTTGTTTGCTCATTTTTTGAAGTGAAAACTTCTGTGCGTTTGGAATTATTTTAAGATGAGTTTTTAACTTGTTAAAATAAGTTTATTTCACTCCTATAAGCAGCACAGCATGCAGCATCATAGCGCTTAGTTATGTGGTGAATAAGTACATTGCAATTATATTATAATTAGCTGACCCGGCGAACTGCGTACCGATTTTATAACAGTCGATAAATGCGGCAATTTTAAATATCTAGCTTAATTAAATTTAGAACTTTACAAGCGAAATAAAACAAACACAAAAAAAAAACAATAGTTTACTAATCCTGCACCGATCGGTCTGTTGCCGCAGAAGTTGCTATATAGACGAATGTCATTTGTAAAACCTCATTTGCCCAAAAAAACTACCAATATTTGAGCGCTAAATTATACAAAAAATAAAAATCTCTTTAATTCATTCATTCCCTTACAATGTATAACTGCAAAATAAAAGTTAGCAAATGGTTTAAAGGTATGGATTACGAAGATACGGAATGTTTGGTAAATAATTAAAACACTTTGTTGTGTAATCAAATACATCTGCAGTTAGTAAGTTTACAGTTCCTGTTATTTTTAAAACTTATATATATTATCAGCGACTTCTGTGCAATATTGGTAAAATTTCAAAATAATGAATACTAAGATGTGATTCGTTTGATTATATTAGATGTTTTTTGATAAGAAGTTGACTTTTCTCGTCACTATTGCAATGTGTCAAAACGCACTTCATAGTGGTAGCTTTCCAATTACAGCATTATAGCGAATTATGCGGCATAATGCTTAACGTTGAGTGTTTCAACTACAGCAACGCTTCGCACAATCGAGCACTCTCAAAAGTAATGCTTTCGTTTCGTGATGCGTGCAATCGTACCAACTCAGAGACAGAAAATTAACAAGTGTATTTTCTTTAAGTTGGCATTGATCGAAATGTTTTATTTATATGTTATAGTTAGTAACATTATTTACTGTTGAAAAATTATTAAAACTTTCGTTTTATTATAGTTTTTTTTAATAATCAAAGTTAATTCAAACTGTGTTAATAATAATTATGGATGAAGGTACAAACATTGACTTTTTTTTCAACACTGAACTTAGCGCACTCTGCTGGTGCATTTGAAAACTAATTCACGTTCCAATTAAACATCAGCATAATTCGGCATTGTGGGCCACTGAGTCGCATTATGCTCTGTAATTGGAAAACTACCAGTGAGTCGCAACTATAAAGTTACACAATTTTTATTATATTTGTAATTATTTTGTTATATTTTTTAAGTCATATTTTATTTGTAATTATTATGGGTTATTTCACATTATGGTTTATTTTATATCACAGTCACATAAACACATTATACATATTCACTAAACAATCTAATTTGATATAATTTGTATTACAATGATGTCGATTCTGACATGATTCTCTAAACCTATTTTAATTTGACAACAGTGTATACTTGTCATTCTCTGTATAGAATAAAAAGAAGAGACTGCTGTTAAATTAAGTTCTAAATTTAGAGAATCACGCCAGAAGCGACACAATTTTGTTATTATGTGATGGCAAAATTAATTAATTTATTTAAAACCTAAGTAGGTACTCAATAAATAAACCGACATGGATCTCTCAACTTTTTGACGGAAGAAGACCTGAGTTGCGAGACTTGTTTTTTTTTTACCGTTTTTGATGGCATATAACTTTTACATTGATTGACTTATCGATACAACATTGATATCGATGACGAGACGATCATTTATGCATGCACAACCCAAATTGACGCATTTCTGTATGCAGGAGTTCAAAGATAATTATGAATTGTAAATATAGACATGTGACTTTATATCTATGAATTTTACTTTTAAAAATGGCGTGCAAATGGCGATTTTTTTATTAACAGAAAATCATATTGAATTAGTACTTAGCAAACGCATGTTATAAATTTATTAGATAATTATGCTTGCAGCTATCGATTTCACATGATACTTTTGAAAAATTAAGCATAATTATATATTTTTAATTCCTTTACTTTTGTGTCACTATCTTGGTGCAGTGGCATCAAATATGCGGAGTTACGCTTAATTGTGTATGAGACGCGTGCCACGGCTACTTTACATCACACTTCTACTTGTTTTTTCTGTTCCGTGAGTATCGGTATTCAATATAACTTTGCTACTCTTACCCTTAAAGGTTTTCATTGTCCGCAGAAGCCCTTAGATACATTTCAATTTTTAATTTCCTGAACGCATCTACAGTTTTTTCTTAATGTTACCATATATATTTCTTGCAAATGTACCAATTAAGCTACAGATGGAAAAACTATTTCTAAACAGTAAATTATCTTATAATATTTTACTTAATTACATTGAAAGCTTAATTTTAGTAGCATAAGCTGTATGTAAAACTATTTATCAATTTATTGTGAAGATTTACTAAGCAAATATGTTCTTAGTTTTTGATTAGCTGACAACACCGGCTGCTGCAAGTTTGCGCATGCGCCGAATGGCGATTTTAACAGTGAATATCTTTGAGTTTCAATTTTATAAATATGAAATTTTATCTTTAGTCGGCAATTTATTTATAACCGTGTAAATTATTAATTAACTTAGGTCAGGTACTTTAAAAATACAACTGTTCCTTTTTATTTTTGGAGTGATAAAAGTGTAACATTGGTGGCCATTACAAAATCTAAACTTTTTATCAGAGAACAAATGTCCATTTGATGTTTCGGCGACGTTGTGACTAATGCATGAAAGCTAATATAAAAATTGCATATCGTTCTTTTACCTGGTATTTATTGTGATTTTAGTTCTGTTATTCATTATCTTCACTGACAATCCATTTTTCTATTATTTATTTCGAAAGATTTGTACAGACCGCTAATTAGGACTGACTTCCCACAAGAAACTGTCATTGTTAAATTTTCTGGTAAATCCAATGACAGATGTGAATATAGATATCTCAAGACATCGTAATTTCTTATGAAAATTGTAATCCATCGTGGCGATATTGGTAAAAGTGTTATTAGTAACACCCACAAGGCTTGTTGTTACTCTTGAATGAACATAACATTGGCACGGCGACCTCTATTCATTCTCGTTCCCTTTTGGAAGAAAATACTTTGAGCTTGGTCTTTTATCGCAAATTAGGATCGTGTCATTAGTGACCGTCGCCGAAGCAACATTTCCGATAATTCAAATCATAATTTCAGTGTTATAACCATGATTTTGAGATAAATTATTTTAGTGTAGTGGTTTAGTGATAAAAACTCAAGAAATTTAAAATTTAATAATAGCAGTGACTATTAGTGTTGGTGTTTTTGTGGTGTGGATTGTGGCATGGGGAGTGGTGTACTCCGCGTGCCATTGTCGAGGCTGTGACATGGGCTGCTTTGCTGCAGCCTCCACTAGTGGGCTCTCAGAGTGATACAAGTGTCAGGCTTGGAGCCTGCACAGAACCTCTAGTATTATGAACAAACGTGAGAGCAACAAGGATAAAGAACGTCAAAGTGACGATAAAAGGACTTCAACGTAAGTGTAAACCAATTTATACCAAATTTTAATGAATGTTATCTTCGTTTCTACAATTCTTTTGATGCTGGCATTTGCACAGTAAGTCATATGTAAGTTGTAGCTAATGCCTTATTTATAGTATAACAAAAATCTTCACAGTTCATTAACCCGGCAACTATTTGGATAATTAGTTTAGTGTTATTATTTTAAATGTTTTGGTTGTATTGGAATGTATAAACTGGCTGAATTCTATCTTCTGCTGATGATGGCACTTCTAATGGCTACTCATATTTGTAATTTTGACAGCAGTCACTCCTTTTCATTCGAAATAGGATATGATGAGAACATATTGCTTTCATATTCACAAATAGCAAATACAAATGTTGATGTTATTGCTAGAATATAAACATACTCTTTCATTTGGGCTGTCCTGTTATAACATTGTCTAAGATTAATAAATATAAATTAGATTTATGGCCTCTCAAGCTATATTATTCTAATATCTACATGTGGAATGTAATAAAAATTTATCTAATCACAGAACTAGAAATAGAAAATAGTAAAATGAGAGAGTCAGCAAATGATTACCTTCACAGCAACTTATAATAACAAACTCAAAATGACCCAATTTTATATTATAGCCATTATTCTAAATTTTTCTTGTACAGTCCACCTAAACAAGTGACAAAAATCACAATGTGGAAGTTCCGGTAAAGAAATGACCAGATATGAAGGTAAAACTATGTCATATGTAAAGTAGGACACTTTTTTGGGTAAATTTTATGCCTGCCTTAATGGTACTATTAATTCTATACAAGACTGTAGGCAAATAACTTTAAGTCATATTGTCCCTTTACAGAGTATGCTTGCCTATCAATATAGAAGGGAGTAAAAGTAGGCAAAATATACTGAAATATTCATTAATTGCAAGTAATTAAACCCTCTACTAGCAGATAATCTTTCAGTAGGTATGGGCAGATTTGCATATGTTTGTTTAGATTGTAATGAGGAAATATAATTGAAAATGGTATAGGTTAAGATAAACAAAATATAGCCAGATGTCTTAGATATTCCCACAAACTTGTTCCTGTCAAAAATCTAGTAATGTAGTATACAATAAAATATCAGATGACATAAAAAAAAACTCCCATTTGACATGGTTCTCAAATCATATGAAGATTGTTACTGAAAAAGCTTTCTTCTCTATTGACGAATATTTAAATTATAAATGACATTAATAATCCTTTTCAAATGAATTGATTCATGTATTGGTTTTGGATATGATCCTATAGAATATTAAAATATAAAATTTTATTTATCTTGATTATTAATGATAATTTATTTTTTACAACTATAAATGGAAATGTTCCCTATATGACTAAATAGGCTTAAAGCTATGTTCACATTTTTGTCAACATCAACATTTGAATTTGAATGCAAACCAATATGATAAAATAAGTATGACCTGCCCCACTAGCATGAGCACTGCGATATGATATGTAGCTCGTTTTTATCACACAAGTGTCAAATTACTATTTAGTTTGACATTTACACATGATAAAAAAAGTGATATAATGTAAATTGTGGTGCTCATGGTACAGGGGCTGGACTATAATAAGCTAGGAAACTAGGATATCAGTTTACAATTACCTATTAAAACATTGTACCTGGTCTGAGTATTGTGACACTGACTTATCATTGACTCTGCTTTAGGACCAAAAGCTTTTTGCATGCATTTTGAGAACATAAATTGGCTTTGATCTATCCAGTGTTCCAGTGGATTTGTTAGATGTAACAGCTGCAAATGCATATATTGCACCAATGTGTCTGCATAACATGCACTAATAAATTCTTAATGCTCTGGAAATTTGTCACTTCTTGGTACATGTGTGGTTCATAATAAATAACACTATTTATGTCAATCTTTGTAGCTTTAGCTACCCTATAAATGTCCAAAAAACCCTAACTAGGTAAATATTTACGATTAAGTCTTACTACAAAAGTTTAAGACTCGACTGTAAATATTTCAAAAAGTTTGACATGTTTTCAAAACATGTTTAGGCAAATTTTGTAAGAATTTTTTTCAACTTATGTTGAACACATGTCTAACTTCTTTGAGGTAATAAGGTTAATGGATAGCATACTTTTCTGTGTGTGTATTCTGCCTTTAGATAAATGCTTGTATTAATTAGAAAAACTTTAATTCTGCTCTAAGGGAAATCAGTACCAGCAAATGATATCACAATTATTGAAAGGAATCAATCAGTCTTATTAGTCTGGGATGGGATTGGTACAATAACCAACATTACATTTTATGAATCATCATGACCAAAATGAATATATTTCAGAAAGTATAAGAATGGATTGAGCCATTTAGCTGATTTGAATACATTTTATTTAGGAATATCTACTCTACAAATATAGTACATAATAAAAAGTTGACCCTTTTTGGAAAAAGGTTTTAAATGGTTAATAAATGTTCTATTAGACCGAAAAAAATGTATTGTATTTTTTTGAGACCTAGAAAGCTACAAATCTTTAATTTTAAAATAGACTTTTCATGGACATACAAAAACGCTGCCGGCCATTTTAGTCAATAGATTATCTATGCTATGACGTTGACAGTAGTAAACAAAAACTTGTAAGCACGTAGAAAATAACCCATCTGAGTTTATAATAAAAAGAAAACATGATTTCTAATAGATACCACGAAAAATATAGTAATTATTGTATTGTACGAGAATGTAAAAACACATCTTTGAAGACTCCAGGAAAGTTGTGGATTAAAGTGCCGAAAGAAATTAACCTACGCAATATCTGGTTAGAACTTGCTAAAAGGGATCCTGCAAATTTAACGACTCATAGTAAAATTTATTTTTGCGAAGATCACTTTGATGTAAATACTCATTGAAAAATATTTTAAGTCTCTTCATTTATTATCAGTTTTAATAATACAAGTTTTAAAGTTATGTATGAATGACATTTAGTTGTTTACTAAAACAGACGTCACAATCATGGCGGATGTGGCGAACAGCGTTTTTAGTGTTTAAAAAGTATAGACCAAAAATTGTTTTTTTAAATTAAATTTCTACAGCAATCTTCTGCTTTTATGAAGTGAAATCGATATATTTAGGTTCCTTAGACAAAATACTTTAAGAAATAAACATTTATTTAATACAATTCAACATGAGTCAACTAGCCTATTAAATAAAAGTTTTGTATTTCAACTTTATCCAAAACCTTATTTAATACTCTATGCTTGACCAACTCATAAAAGAGTCCATGGGCGATTCACTCCGCAGGGTGACATGCTGGAGGGTCAAAACGAATGAAAACGGTTCCAGTATGAATCGGCCCTTAAGATCAGAAGTCCTATGCTTGCATTTCACATGGCTATTCGTATTTGATATTTGTCATTTTGACAGAAGATTGTCCTTATCGTATTCTATCTAAATAACCAAGTGAAAAGCAAAGACTGATGCCAAATTAAATTTTAGGTCTAGAAAATCATGTCAGAATTAGGCCCAATGGTGAAATACGGGACGTTTAAAATTAACAATAAACATGATGTGGTGGCGGCGGACGTGTAACGTACTTTACAGCATGTCCGTTAAGCTAGTATGGAAAGTGAGCAGAATAGCTTAAAGCAAAGTGCATCAATTAGTACTAATTTAGTGCCAAAACCTGAAATTTAATGCTCTTATAGTTTCGCGAAAAATTGAACACTGCCAGCTTTTATTTAAGCTAGCAGTATATTCCCTGAAACGCCTATATTGACGCGGTAGTATAGGTATATTAAAGCAATGCATAGGGAATTTAGTGCTTAATGAGTGCTGGCAGTATCTGATAAAACAAAATCGAATAAAAAAATTATCCATCAAAACTGCTAGTATGACAGTCTGAACAAGTCACCGGGTCGAATACATCAGTCTGGATCGAAGATCCATAATAATCAACGGTTAATAATTTAGTACTCAATGAGCAGACATACTAGCAGTTTTGATTGATAAAAATAAAAACGATTAAAACATTTACATTTTTTTATCACATACTGTCAGCACTCATTGAGCACTAAATTATTAACCGTTCATTATCATAGATCTTCGATCCAGAGTGATGTATTCAACCCGGTCACTTGCTCAGACTGTCATACTAGCAGTTTTGATTAATAAAAATAAAAAAATCCAAATTTTTTATCACATACTGCCAGCACTCATTGAGCACTAAATTATTAACCGTTGATTATCATAGATCTTCGATCCAGAGTGATGAATTCAACCCGGTCAGTTGCTCAGACTGTCACACTAGCAGTTTTGATTGATTAAAAATAAAACCCTAATTTTTTATCACATACTGGCAGCACTCATTGAGCACTAAATTATTAACCGTTGAATATCATAGATCTTCGATCCAGAGTGATGTATTCAACCCGGTCACTTGCTCAGACTGTCATACTAGCAGTTTTGCTTAATAAAAAATAAAAAAATCCAAATTTTTTATCACATACTGGCAGCACTCATTGATCGCTAAATTCTTAACCGTCAATTATTATAGATTTTCGATCCAGAGTGATGTATTCAACCCGGTCACTTGCTCAGACTGTCAAACTAGCAGTTTTGATTTGTAAAAAATAAAATTAATTTATTTTCGTTTTTTTTATCAGATACTGCCCGCACTCATTAAGCACTGAATTCCCTATGCATTGCTTTAGTTCTATACCGCGTTCATATAGGCATTTCAGGGAATACACTGCTACCTTAATTAAAAGCTGGCAGTGTTCTGATTGCAGGCAGCTGGCAGTGTTCTAATGAGGAGCTCGATGGCGCAAGTGGTTAGCGCGTTCGTCTGCGATCGTTGAATTTGTTATACTATAAGCAACTTTCGCAGTGGTCGGTCATTGGATGGGTGACCAAAAATCTTCTATCTCGAGTTCCTCAGTACTTCGGAAGGCACGTTAAGCCGTTGGTCCCGGCTGCATCTGCAGTCGTTAGCACCCGCCAATCCGCATTAGGCCCGCG